ACCAGAAAATTGTTCAAGGAAGTTGAAGCATGTTAGCAGGGTTGAAGCCACATGTGAGCATGCTGATAGTCAAAAGAACAATGTAAAGCATGCGACAGAAAGGAAAAGAAAAGACACCAGCTTTGGAGCTCCAATTGACACTCCAATACGTGCTGATCTGTATGGAAAAAATGTTGAGGGAGAACAAAGATCTAAAGATGAAAGAAGTCTTTTGTTGAAAAAGGATCTCAATAATGATCATTGCAGAAATACCCAGGGTGCGCATATTTTACGCAGGGAAAATCAATCAGAATCAAGTGAAAGTTGCGAAAAGATCAGTAAGAAGCACAGGAAAGAGAGGAAAGCTCATGGGCTTCACGGAAAACAATGTGACAGCTTAGAGAGTAACTTGGGGAACTCAAAAAAGTCAGGAAGTGATAACCATAAACATTCTATATCTGTTGCATCTGAAAGATTTCAACTACCTTTAGAACGCGATGATAAATTGCGGAATATGAGAGATTGGAAGAACCCTGCTAAGACATCTCTTATGCAGAAGGATGTGGAAGATGGTATTGGAACTTGTAATCAGGTTAAAAAACCTGATCACATGATATCAGAGAGGAAGCAACAACGTGATGCTGTTGATGCTCTTCTTTCTTCAGCACTAATATCTTCGAACAAGTCTAGGTCTTCACTAAAATCTTTGCCTGCCAAAAGGACGAGTTCACCAAATGCTGGATGCCCTCCAATTAGACCACCTAAGCAAAATAAGGTAAAAGTCTTTAAGTCATTGATCAAGTTTGCTGAGATGATCAGAAGTTACATTTTTCTCATTCTATCCCCTAATAAATGTCCTCTTTTCAAGTGGAATAATTAGTCGGTGAAGTTATTTGAAAATATTCTTAGATGTTCATTATTAACTATATGCGAAACACGAGCTTTTTGAATTTTTCATATCTTAAAATGTTAAAATATTTAAAAGAACCCCTAGTTATAACTTATAACTAATTAAGTTGTATTCTTGAAAGAGAAACGAGCATTCAACATAAGATGGAGGATAGTTTAACTTTTTACCACCACCACCAACTATTACACTTCATATCCAAGCTAGTATGACCAATTATATATATTCTCCAATTTGTTTCTCTGTTTGGACCCATTTCATACATTGTCTTACTGCTACTAATCCAATTTACTGCTACACCTCGTATGCCTCCACAGTGATACATTAGCCAATTAAGACCAGCAAAAAAGTAAGCATCTAGTTTGAGGGAGTGATTTGGGGTTAAGGTTCCATCAAGACACCTCCTATTCCTCTCATTCCAATTAGTACTTCAGAAGATAGCAGCAGGGATCATTGGCCAGATCCTTTTGATGGTTTCATCAACTCTCCTCATGCTCCAGTTCATATGTGCCTCTTTTATGGTCTCTGGCACGACCCATTTCAACCCAAAAATGCAGAAGAACATTTTCCAAAGATCAGTAGCCACCTTGCAGTGCAAAAACAAATAATACACATATCATAGTTGTAGTTTGTACCCCTTTCTCTATCATTTGTGCTAGCTTTATGTTTCATTCTCTGCCCCACGCCGTACAAGTCATCTAGAGTTTTACGTGAGGCGTTGGTAGCAACCTTCTTAGCTTCTCTCTTAACTCAGTCTTCAAAGATTTTATCATCTTTTGCTTTTCATAACTCCTATACGGCTATACCCACAAGCTCTTTGTACTTACTCCATCATAAGGATTCTTCTGGTTGATTTTCAAGACCTTCAGGAACATTTATAACTTTACCAACATGGTGGCTCTTTTTGTTTGTTATGATGAAGGTATTATGTTACTTTTGAATGTTAATAAAAGTCTCTTTCTTTTTTTAGAGTCAAGCTGAAAACTCTATTCCTATAATCCTATTAGATGGAGGATGCACTTCAATTTAGCGTTTTGGAATTGTGATAGTATCTATGTCTTTCCAAGTATGGTATCATTTTTTGATACTACCCGTGGATATTCAACATTCAAAAACATTTCTTAAACCTGATCATCCACTAGCATTCTGACTTTTCTATATTCAACAATTGTGCCCTATGGCCTAGGCCCAATTTTTTGATACAGTTGAGCTGTTTGGTTGCCGTTCTTGCTTTAACTCACTGTGTATAATCTTGGTCTGGATTTTCAAAAAGTAGGCAGATGAATGTTGTTTATAGTGTCTGCAACAGTAGTGTCCTTGGTGCTTTACTTCTTTCTACATCTCATGAAAACGTTTAACTTTTATAGAGCTAGCAGCAATTTCTTCTTACGCAAGGACTGGCATATTCATCAAGGTCGTTATTTGAGAGATGTCTGCTGGTTCCAGAGGGTCCGGTTGACACATTTGAGGTGTGCAAGGTGGAATAGTTTCCTTCTTCAAAGTTCCCATTCAGTGGAGATATAGGAGCTCCTTTTACTTTTTGTTTCAACAAGGTAAAGTGCCCCATAAGAAATCTTTAACAATTGGAAGTCGGATATTGGAAAATTGTTAAAAAATGATCATCCTGGATGTGCTTCCATTTCATGATTTTTGTTCTTGAGGCAGGTTGTGTGCCCTGAAAGTAGCGTCTGGTGGCTATGATTATTTTCACTGCAGATGAAGTTCATATAGAACTCTGAATCAAAAGGGGGATACCCACAAATTACTCTTATTTTTTTGGTACACGAATGGGCTGAATTGTTCTATCATTTTCTTGGAAGATTAACATGGAAGATCCACTTTAAAGATTCAATAATCAAAATACCCAATCTTTTAAAATATTACATATGATGTACCATTATAACTCTAGATACCTTTTTTATAAATAACATTCACACTTATACTCTGTGCACAGACCACACTCTTGATTTCCCATTAGATCCCAGTTTACCAAATTATCCTTGTGTAAAGTCTATTTTAAAGTACAGGTTGAAGATAAACAACCATTGAAGGGGTCTAAAGTTATTACATGCCAGTGTCCTCCGTGAAATCCATAGAATGTCTCCTCTCAACTTATTATATTTCTTTTAGATTGAATACTTTTCCAGTTGCATCAGTTTTGGATCATAATGCTAGAATTCAGCAGGTACTGTATAGCTTAAAAAAAGATGCTGGTCAACATCAAGGAGGCTTGTTTTGGTTCATACTCCCATGTTTCAACTTTTTGCTTCAATCTTCCTTTATTTGACGAATCAGTATTGGGAGAGGAAAACTTATTATTGGTTGAAGCTTAAATGAGGTCCCGATTGTAATTGTAATTTTGGGTGCAGCAAGCTGTAATATGTTTCTTACGCCTTAGGATTTATGATGCAGGCTAAACGAATATCACTAATCATTTTACACCTTGTTGTAGGTATGTTTGTATAATGTCATTTTCCTAAAAATGCATTTCTGGTGATTGATTGGAGAGTGATATTGAAGAACTGTGTGTATTGATGATTGATAATAATGAAATATATACCTTTTTAAATTTGTTGTTTTGCTGGTATCTTTTTATCGCTCATAGTTTGTAAACAATGTGTTTGTAAAGGCTATTTTTTTGACTTAGTCAAGTGTTTTTTTTTAATACATATTTGGCATGAAATGAATAAATACGCAATTGAGACAAGTCGTCCGTCCATTTAAAGATTGAAGCAAAAAATTGAAACTTGACGAGGTTGGTTAAGGGTTGTTTGGCTAAAATGTTAATGATTTTGAGTGAGAAGAAAGATATGCAAATTAAAGTAGTGCGTATATGGTGTACAATTTGAATGTAGGTATAGTGCAGGGCCACATTAACATAATAATGGTCACATGGGCAGGTGGTGAATGATGATCATGAGAAGATGAGGAAATAGTTATATAAAGTTCCCCAAGAATGAATCACGTTATTTCAGGCTCCCACGTCTTACGCTGCCATATTCGTCTAATCATTATTATTGCTATCAGATCACCTTTTGACTTTCTCAAATGAATTATCATGTTCATGTGCCTAATCATGACTTTCCCTTTTTCCGATGCCCCTAATTACCCACTCATAAATATTAGATGAGTAGGTAAACAAATCCTCCATATATAATACAACTAACAAAACAAGAAGAATAAGTTATAGAATTAGAAGCAGCAATAGTATATAGGAGTGTAAAATAGAATTAATTAACAGAAAGAAAGAATCAGGTAAATGAATATATATATATAAGAAACAATTGACGAGATTGGGAATAGGACAAGATATTAATTGTGTTTGTTTATGAGAAGAAAAGTAGGGTTTTGCCCTGATTTTCTTACCATAATTTAAGATTTATTTTTTCTTAAAAAAAAGACAAAACATTACCATAAATGTTTTTACTTTTTTTTGAAAGGAAAATATAATATTCTTTCATATTTGGTTTATTCTCTCCTTTTAGGACTCTATAAATATAAGTTTGTTTCTTCTAACACAACAACAATAACATCCACAATGTAATCGTTCAAGAGTCTTGTTTATGGGGAGATTTATTCTCTCTAAAGTTTCAATGTTTTTCTTTATATTAGTTTTGATATAATAATATTTTGATTTTTAGTATAAGTTTTTATTATCTGATTTATCAACCATATGATTTGCAAATTGTACGCTTCCGCATGACACCCTAATCCCCCTTCATAACCCAACACAGGTTATTTTAATTAGAATACAGGAGATAGATTGCTAATTTCGTACAGTTCAGAATGTGGAAATTAAAGCCAGCCAGCTAGCGTAAGAGAAGCTGTATGTGATGAATTAAATGCAACAAGTTACGCTAATATTAATCATGATTCAATTCATTCTATGTATAAATAATAACTTGTACGGAAGAGAGCTAGGGTTAGTATTTGATAATCATGACTAGCTACTTGGTTAATTAATTTATTGAGATTGGTAAGGTAATAATTATATTGATGAAGGTACCGTACCAGTAGGCAGGCCGGCAACAGTTGATTATTTAATTAACTAATGGAATCAAATAGGCCCTATATATCTATAGAGATGGAGGGTCATTATTATTCATAATAGCTGATGGATATTCCATCAAACAATAAACAGCTTCTTAGGTCTGGTAATAAGATCAGACAAATAGTTAGGCTTCAGCAGCTGCTCAAGAAATGGAAAAAGATTGCAGCTGCATCCCCTTCTTCTACTCACCTTCAACGCAATACTAGTAGTGGTAATGGCGGCATCAATAAGTTCCTCAAGAAAACTCTTTCATTTTCAGACAAGGAATACGACATTAACAATAATAATGTCCCCAAAGGATGCCTTGCAGTACTATGCGTTGGAAAGGAGGAGGAGAAGAGATTTGTCATCCCAATGGACTACTTGGCCCACCAATCATTTCAAGTCCTCTTGAGAGAAGCTGAAGAAGAGTTTGGTTTCCAACAACAGGGAATCCTCAAGATTCCTTGTCAACTCTCCCTTTTTGACAAGATTTTGAAAACCATACAATCTAATAAACAACCAAATGATGATAGTAATGTCGTCGGCGGCTGCTGCTCTCCAGACAATCACCAACACAATATCATACCTCCTCAATTGTGCAGTATATGAATCATCCATTCAGTATACTACTGCTTTAATTAATTACTCCTACGTATTTATTCGTCTTCATCTCATGCATGCATGTTGTACATTTCTTGCCAATCAGACATATCACTCCTCCCTCTTCTCGCTACTTGGGTATAGTTTTATCACTTTCTCTTCTAGCAATTCACTTGTCCATTTTCTATTCTATGCATGGCTTGTTAAGTTTAAAAATCATGACATGATCATACATTTAGTTAGACGAGAGGGTACTTTTGATACCAAAAACAAACGGTCAAATAGTCAAGTTCAGGATGATAATTAAGACGGATACTTGATACTCTTTTGCTTCTTCCATTTTGTTTATTTCATCACAAATGCCCCGTCCACTGTTGCCCATCACATCACAAATGCCCCGTTTGATACATAATACAATGTTTAACTGGTTACATAAGAAAGAACAATAAGTACCAACCCCGCAACTCATGCAATTTTTGAGTGGCAATGCCAACATAGTTTATGCGAAAATATAAGTTAAACAAAATATCCTTAATCAGGTAGATTCCACATAATATTCACTTTAATTAATACTGAGTCAGTTTTTTTTGGTGAGAGACTAGTCATTGACCAGTTTATGGCTGCTTTATCTTAGTTCAATCTGATGGATAGATGGCTCAATTTCCTTCATCAGAACCCCGCAGGATTTTCGCTGGTTGTCACCAAATTAGTACTGCGTCAATAACATCAACTTCATGTATCATCTAAGGAGTCTGCTGAGTGCTGACCTCGCGTATATCATAAAAAAGCAACCGAGTACACTGAATACAAACAGAGCGCTTTTTAACCGATCGACATGCCACATTATTCAAACAGAAATATCATATGTGTACACAATAACTAGTGTATCTTGAATACGCATCCAGGAGCACCCAGCTATTAGTAATGAAGCAGATATTGGAAACTGCCATCCACTACTACTTCCCAGTAACCAAACAATTTCACAATTCACAACTCGCAGCCTACTTAGCTTTTCTCTGATGCTGGACAATTCAACCCTGTTTGAGCCATCTCAATAGTGTAACAGATTCAAGGGAAATCATTTTGAATACTTATCAACAAGCGCCTTAGCGTTCTCTGGTGCAAAGAATCTCGCCTGTGACAACAACTGCCATGTTAGAAGATATTATATAAATCCAAATTATAATAGGAATGTCTTGCAAAATTTCAAAATATTTTGCAGGTGTAATTTTTACGTTAAGAGATAAAATTTTAACAAGTTTGAGTTCTGTCTCCAATACCAATTAGCAAGCATGCCGATATCACCGAAAGATCATATGAACTTGTAGCACAACTTGGATGTCAAATATCTTGTCATAAAAACACACTGTTCTAGTGTTGGATTCTCAAACTGCATTTTTAGAAGATCCGACATAGGTGCGTAGACATTTTGGAGAATTCGAACAGCATAGGTAGAAACATAGAGGGCCTATAATGACACTGCTGTTTAGGAACCTATGCCTTGTCTATAACTAAATTGTATATGGGAAAAAGAGCACAGCTAGCAAAGGGGGTCATGGAAAAACCAAAACATGAAGCATGTGATTTACAGAGATGGCAACAAGATCCTAGTGACAAGCATTATGCCTGATTACACAGTTAGAGCCCGTTATGATTAACTTAAAAAATAGCTTATTTGCAACAAGATCCTAGTGACAAGCATTATGCCTGATTACACAGTTAGAGCCCGTTATGATTAACTTAAAAAATAGCTTTTTAAAAATAGTTTTTAAAAAGTCAAAATTTAGTATCTTTAAGTTAAAAAATGAAAAGTAGAGGAATACCTACTTTTACCTTTTAACTTTTTTTTAAAAAGTCATTTTAAACTTATTTCAAGTTATTTCTAACTTTGACAAACACTCTCAAAAGCTAAAAATGACTCATAATCCCTTTGCTAGTTTATCCTTACCAGGTTCTATAATTCACCCTTCTAAGATACCTTTTCAAAGTGCAATATGTTGATTAGGAGGAGACAAGTAAGCAGTAAGGAGTTTTTTGGTAGAGTGTATAAAAATAATGCTCTATAGAGTGTATTCGTAATGCTTGTATTAATTATGCATAGATTATTTCGAATGCATTGTTTGGTTTGGTGTACTGAAAATAGTAGGCATTGTACAAAAATATGTATTTACAAAAGTATCCTCCACAATTATGGTGAAAAAGATATAAAAGTGCTTTAGAAGGGTAATTGGGTCTTTACTCTGCTAATACATGTATTAAATCCCTTTGCATTACTAATACCTAGAAATCCATGGTATTAGTAATACACTCTTCAATACACAATAGAGTGTATAACTACTGCAAACATTAGTTATACATAGCATGAAAAAGTGTACCAAACAAGGGACTACTAATACACAAAGTTAATGCATGCATTATTTTTGCTAATACACTCCACCAAACAACCCCTAAGTGCTAAGTGGGATACGGGCACGTAATGTGAATCGCCTGGTCCTGAAGTTGGGCATGGATGATGATGACAAGCCAAGAGTAGTCCAATAGTGGCTGGTGATGTAGAAGTAACCACAGATTCCTCAAAAGTCGATACATGTAAAACCTCAACCATATCAGAGGATGTAAATTAAGGTCGAGACTAAAAGAATAAGACAACGATAGACATAAGATACCGATGAAGATCAGATACCGATGAAGATCAGGTGAGTAGCAACGATACCCCTTTTGAACTCGAGAATAACCAGGAAAGACATTTGAGAGCACAAGGGCCTAATTTATCTTTCCCAAGCCTAAGTTTGAACAAAACATGTTCTCCCATAGACACGAGGGGAAAGAGAGTATAGAGGTGACTGAAGATAAATTCGTCACTATCATTTTGGGACAACCATTCTTAGCAACTAGATGGGCTTTGGTTGATGTCGAGAGTGGGGAGCTTCAATTCAGGTTGAACAATGAAGAAGTAATCTTCAATATGGGCAGATCCATGAAGCATCCCAGAGACAGGAGTGTCATCTCTGTTATTGACACGGTTGATGAAGTAGTAAAGGCTGACGTTGCAGAACAATTTGTGGTTAAACCATTGGCAGCCATAATCATGAACTTTGATAGAGACCATAGGGGAGATTTTGAGGAGACAATGAATGCTTTGACAGGCATAGGTTCCTACACCTTTGCACCGAAAAGGCCTGATCTTGATCTAAAGAACATGGAGTTTCCAACAGCAAAGCCATCTATGAATGAGCCACTAGTCTAAGAGCTCAAGCTTCTTCCTTCTCACTTAAGGTATGCATATCTTAAGCCAAACAAGACTCTGCTTGTGATTATATCTGCAAAGCTGCTAGTGCATTGGGTAGAAGCAGTGCTTTTGGTTCTGAGAGTGTATAGAAGAGCTCTGGGTTGGTCTATAGCTGACATCATCGGTATTCCTCTGGGTATTTGCACGCATAAGATCAAGTTGAAGGAAGATAATATTCGTAGCATTGAGCAACGAAAAAGGCTGATCCACCAATACAAGACGTGGTGAAGAAAGAGATAATAAAGTGGTGGGATGCAGGATTTGGATAAGTGGGTGAGCCCAGATCAATGAGTACCTAAAAAAGGTGGCATGACGGTGGTTCCCAATGATAAAAACGATTAATACCCACACACACAATGACTAGTTAGAGGGTGTGCATGGACTACTGAAAGCTAAATCGTTGGACAGAGAAAGATCACTTCCCAATGCTCTTTAGACCATCTCAAACCCCCTCTATTTTCCTCTCCACTCTTTATATTTGGAGAGTAAAATAGAGAATGCCCTCTCCAATCACTATGTAATTCACCCTCTACTCTCCAATTATAGAGAGTTGAAGAGTAGTTCTCCAAATTTGGAGAACTACTATTCATACTCTCTATTACACTTTTTGAATATTATATTATTATTTTGTAATTGACATATTATTTTTCATATAAGGCTATTAATTAAATCTCTAATATTCGTAATTCTTTTTAAATGGAATGTAATGTTTTAAAAAATATATTACTTAACATACACTTTTTAATATTTCAAATATTTTTATAAATTTCATCAGTTTTAAGTGATATAATTTGATATTATTATTAATTTTCACTATGAAGATGCACAAAATTTAAATGATAAGATGAAGTATTTAATTTAAAAATACAACACATGACATAATATATTGAAAAAATAATATAATATTGATGAGAGAGAGAAGAAGATACTTTTTTAGAGAATAAAATAGAGAATTGAGTTGAAGTTGGTTGTCTAAAAAAATAGAGAACTCTATATTTGGAGATTAAAATAGAGGGTAGGGTTGAAGCCCTTATTAGACCTCTATTTCCAAGAGAATGCCACTTGGGTTGTGTAATGCTACTGCCATATTGCAAAAATGTATAATGTCTATTCATGGATGATTTCTCGATAGTGGAAAATTCATTTGATGAGTGTTTAGCTCACTTGACGCAAGTATTGAAGCATTGTGAGGAAACAAAAAGATGTCACTTCATGGTGAATAAAGGCATTGTATTGGGCCACAAATTTATATCTGAGAAGGGCATAGAAGTGGACCCAGCTAAAATCGAAGTCATATCATAATTGTCTCCTCCAATCTCTATCAAAGGTAGCCGGAATTCCCTTGGGCATGCTGGTTTCTACTGAAGATTCATCAAAGACTTCTCAAAAATTGCTAATCCTATGTGTAAATTGCTTCAGAAGGACTTCAATTTTGAGTTTGATGATGCTTACCTCAAGGTAGTTGAATGCTTGAAGGAGAAATACACGACTGCTCCTATCATTGTTGCTCCTGATTGGTTCAGACAATTTGAACTGATGTGCAATCCAAGTGGAGTAGCATTGAGAGCTATTCTTGGCCAAAGACACGAGAATATGTTCCACCCAATCTACTATGCTAGTAAGACACTCAATGGGGCTAGAAAAACTACGTTGTGATTGAACATGAATTGTTAAATGTAGTATACGTATTTGATAAGTTCAGATCATATCTGTTGGGCACCAATGTGATAGTCTACACTGACCATGCAGCCATATGGTGTCTCATGGCCAAAAAGGATACGAAACCCAAGTTGATCTGTTGGGTGCTACTATTGCAGGAGTTTGACTTTGTGGCTAAGGACCGCAAGGGGTGTGAAAATCAGGTGGCGAACCACTTATCCAGATTAGAGGAAGGTGGAAGGACAAACTGAGAGATTGATAGTAATGAGTCCTTTCCAGACGAGCACATGTTCGATGCATCGCATGGCTTGATTCCCTGGTATGCTGGCCTTGCTAATTTTCTCGCAAGTGATATGATGCCCGAGGATCTGAAGTTCCATTAGAAGAAGAAGTTCCTACACAATGCTAGGAAATTCTATTCAGATGAACTTTACTTATTCAAGGTTTGAGCATATAATGTCATTAGAAGGTGCATTCCTGAGCTGAGATGATGGCCATTATCAAAGCATGTCATACCTCTACAGTCGGAGGGCATTATGGTGACAACGGACAACCCGAAAGATCTTGTAGAGCGGTTACTATTGGCCTACCATCTATCAAAACGAGCATGATTTTGTCAAAACATGTGATTAGCGCCAAAGATATGGAGGCATTTCAAGGAGACATGAACTGCCCCTGACCCCTATTATTTTTTTGAAGTTGGTAACATGTATTCTTCAACATTAAAGGTATGCTAGCCACCTTCAAAAGAGTGCTTACATAGATAGCTAATTACAATAAGCCTGGGAAATCCACTTTATGTATTTCATTTACTATACATTGCTCTTAACACCAAAAACATAAAGTAGAAATGCATTTCCCTTTGATCTTTTGAATGGAGTTTGATCTTCCTTTGAAAATCCTCTCATTCCTTTCCTTCCATATGCTCTACCATATGCAAGCTAGGACAGTTTTCCACCATCTCTCCCAGCTTTTGCTCCCTCCCATTCTTATCCAGCAACTCAATAGATCAACTGTGTGCTCTGGCATTGTCCAGCTTTCCCAGCTAAGGTAATGAATAGGGACCAGACTTGGGAAGTTACCTTGCATTGGAGGAAGAGGTGGTTGTTTCTTTCATTGGGTTCCATACAAAGAAGGCATTGGAATCTAAATGAAATTTCCTTTTCTGTAATGCCTCGTAGGTGAGACATGCCTTCCTTACTACCAGCCAGGAGAAGCATTTCACTTTAGTAGGTGCCGTGCTTCTCCAAGTAGCTTTCCAAGGTCCTCTATCTCTTTCTGTCATCTCTACATTGCCCTTTTTGTAGACTCTGTTGACTAAGAATTTGCCATCAATGTTGTGCCTCCACTTGATGATATCAGGCTCATTAGTAGTCCCTATGAAGGTTCCTATTCTGCCAAGTAGAGAAACCACTCTTTCAACCTCCCAATCATTCAAAAATCTTCTAAAAATTAGGTTCCATCCCTGAGCTGTCCAGATGTTCTCTATTGTGCTATTCTGGTTGGTGTTGATGTTGAAGATGCTGGGGAAAGCCTCTTGCAAAGTGCCCTGACCATCCCGGTTATCCTTCAAGAAGAAGATTTTTTGGCCATTGCCAACTTGGAAAATAATGTCCTTCCCCAGGTTGTTCTAGAAACACCTAATTGTCCTCCATAGTACAACTCTAAAGGTGTCCGTTGACTCATCAGTGCACCACTGCGCATTTTGTCCGTACTTCTGTTGTATTACATTCTTCCACAAGGTTGGTCTATCTTCAGCATATCTCCACAACCATTTCTTGAGTAGGCTGTTGTTTTGTAGCTTTAGGTTTCTAACCCCCATACCTCCATGCTCCTTACTTTGTTGCACTATGTTCCATTTCACTAGATTGTAACCTTTATGCTCTTTTCTGCCATGTCATAGGAAGTTTCTTCTCAATTAATCTAGAACTTTGAGTACTTTAGGAGGTATTGGAAAGAGAGACCACATATGTTGGTAATGAGTCTAGCACAAAGTTTATTAGAATTAGAGAAAAGACATAAAGTCGCCATTGAAGTTGTCCCGAATTTTCAAAAAGACACCTTAACTTTATGGGTGTCCTATTACCCCACGAAACTATTTCCAACTACTATAAATACACCCTTTTTACAACTTTTGTAATCTCATAGCTTGTGCGTGTATTTCACCTCAAATAAAATAATATAATTTTATTTTTCTTACTAATTTAATAATGAATTGGGTAAAATCCTAACTCACTCACATTTTGATCCTCAAAATCTTCTGGGTCAAGTCCAAAAGCACAAACAAGTTGTGAGTGCAAATTCAAAACTTCATGTAAATGGGTGCATTAACTAATTTGGGTTTAATATATATAATTTTTTTGTGAAAATGGTCTTGACGAGTTGTTGCATTGTTGAGGATAATTTTTGGAATTTCAATTGATGGGTTCTTTTAGCGTCGTACCGCTGTAACTCTATTTTTTATTGTTGTTGAAGAAGACGAAGATGGAATGAGCTAAAATGGAGTTTTTGCAAGGTGGAAAATGGAAGATTTTGGATATGAAATTTTTGTGGAATTCGTTTTCACTGTTTACATAACAGTGAAGATTTTCACTTAGGAATTGTATGAAATCTTCTTAAATTCTTAAGGAATTATGAAACTGTTCTTCAACAACCACCATGAAAGGCATTGACCAAGAAATCCTCTATTTCTTGAACTTTTTTAGAAAATGGAGGCTTACAATCTTGCTACGTGGCATTTTTAGATTGGTTTGGGGGTGATTTTTTTTTCATTCACGCGCCACCATTACGTGAGATTACACTTGCTTTGAGGATGGGTTAAAATGGTGTATTTACAATAGTTAGAAATGGTTTCGTGGGGTAATAGAACACCCGCAAAGTTAAGGTGTTTTTTTGAAAATTCAGGACAACTTCAATGGTGACTTTATGTCTTTTCTCTTAGAATTAACCTACCTCCTAAAGATAAATATTGTCCCTTCCACATAGCAAGCTTATTTTCTGTCTTCTTAATGATATTGTCCCTTATGTTAAGCACACCCAATGGAAGTCCCAGGTAAACAGTTGGAAGTTTTCCCACTCCACATCTTAAAATATTAGCTAGAACCTGAATCTGAGTGACTTCATTGATAGGAAAGATGTTACTTTTTCTCCAGTTTATCTTCAAGCCTGAAATTGCTTCAAAGATGACTAGCATTAGTCTCAAAAAACTGATTTGCTCACTAGTAGCATCACAAAAAACTATTGTGTCATCTGCATAAAGTAGATGGTATATCTCTAGCACTCTCTCTGTCCTGCTCCCTACTCTAAAGCCTTTTAACCATCTCCTTTGTATTGCAATCTTCATCATGCTATTGAGGTCTTCCATGGCTACGGTGAAAAGAAAAGAGGATAAAGGGCCCCCTTGTCTTTGCCCTTTTTTTTTGCAGAAAAATAACCAACTGGTTCTCCATTTACCAGAATTGAGAACCTGGTGGTTTTAATGCAAAAACTTATCTAGTTTAGCCATCTTCCAAAACCCATTTGCCAGAGGATGCTGAGTAAGAACTTTCAGTTGATGTGGTCAAATGCATTTCCTTTTTTTGATAAAGTTAGCCCTCTATCATCTTCTATCTGGTAGACTTGGTAAAAGGGCCCCGACTTATTTCCAGAATATGAGTTCGACCGCGGCTTCCCCCCCTTTTTTTTGGGGGAGGGGGGGATTAAGTTCTAGAATGCTTCTATCTCAGTCTATAATGAATCAAGTACATCAATATTAGATATAGCACCATTAGAGTATAACTGGTTACACCAAAAACAGAGCAGTAAGATAAAGTTAAGTTTGATCTTCTTCACTTCATTTTCTACACCTTCATAGCATCTTATGCTCTTCTTTTGATCAGTTGATGCTTTTCTTAGAAAGAAACATATCCAGTCCATCACCTTGCAGCTAACAGTTGATCTTCTCATCATCCTTCGACTCCTCTCCACCCATTCATACCAAACAGATCCATCTGAGCTCCATCTGGTAATGTCAAACGATTTGAATCCTGCATTGAAATATATTCTATTTTCCCCCATATCAGTTGGAGAGAGGGAACAGAAAATAAAAGAAAGTAGACAATGGCAGAAGGAGACACCTGTGAAAGAAGAAGAGAGATGGCAGTTCTCAGGCAACCTAAACGGAAAGAGGGTTCTCTCTCTCTCCTAGGAAGTAGGGGAGAGAGGAACTTGTAGTCAAATGCCTTTTCAATGTCTAATTTGCACATCACCCCTGGTTCTGAGCCTCTCAATCTAGTGTCTACACACTCACTTGCCACTGAAGCTGCATCCATGCCTTACTTTAATAAAGGCCATTTGATGAGGGTTTATTAGCTTATCTATCACTCTCTTTAATCTTTCAACTGGTACTTCTGCAATGATCTTGTACATTCCAGTGATGAGACTTATTGGTCTGAAGTTTCTCATCTCAGTTGCACCCACCTTCTTTGGGGTAAGAGCTACAAATGTGGCATTGAAGCTCTTCTCAAAAACCTATTGCAACTGGAAATTCTGTAGGTAAGTAGTATATCTGACTTCAACATTTCCACGAAAGTAATGAAGAATGACATTGGGAACCCATCAGAGCCTGGGGCCTTGTCAATGGCACACTGTTTAAGCTCCTCTAATATTTCATCCTCTTCAAATAGTCTTTCCAGCCACTCCTGTACTTCAGTGGAGATCTTGGTGTTCCATTGGAGTGTGAAATCAGGTCTCCAATTCTCAGACTCCTTGTAACTTCAGGATTAGTAACTTCAGCCCCCTCAACTTTGAGGATGTCAATGGAGTTGAATCTTCTGTGAGCATTGGCCATTCTGTGGAAATACTCTGTGTTTTTGTCACCATTTTTGATCCATTGTTCCCTGGATCTGTCTCCGGGCAATTTCCTCATTTCTGGACACCTCTTCAAACTCCATAGCCAACTGAATTTCCTGCAGTTGTTCATCATCAGTCAAAAGTCTGAGATCCTGGAATGGATTCCAGATTTCCCACTTGTGATAGAATCAGATCTTTCCTTTCCTTCCAGTTGTTCCTGTTGGCTTTGCTCCATTCTTTGAGCTTGACTTTCAATTGACTAAGCTTAGAAGCTAATTGAGAATCAGGTCTGCCAGTTGCATTGAAACTGCTCCACCATTCTTTCACCTTGTCTATGAATCCTTCCTCCTTAAGCCACCAATTTTCAAATTTGAAATATGATTTCCTATGTTTCCAATCACCACAGGATAGTAGGATGGGGTTATGGTCTGAGCCAAGTTGTGGTTGAACACTTTGGCTGATTTTGGAGAAACTCTCATCCCATTGGGAAGAGAATAAGAATCTATCTATTCTTGTCGCACAACTGTGATTTTGACCTCTCCTCCATGTATAACTACCTCCGGAAAGAGGAGGATCCAGAAACTCAAGATCATTTATGCATTGGTTGAAATCAGCCATGGTTCTGGTTATTCTATTACAGTTTGTCCTTTCAGAGGGAAATCTGGATACATTAAAGTCCCCACAGATCACCCAGGGCCCTTCACATCCGGCCCCTATTATTGAGATTAAGCTGTTTGACGTATGGGTAATTGACTTCATGGCCCTTTCGTGAGTTCATATAGGCAGAAGTATATCTTGGTGGCTGTTGACTGTGTGTGAAAATGAGTGGAGGCAGTAGCGCTCCCAAACAATGAAGGAAGGAGTGTCACCGCTTTCTTGAAAAAGAACATCTTCAGCAGGTCTGACACTCCACGAGTTATTATAAGTGATGGGGGGTTGCATTTCTGCAACCGACTGTTTAGTTTGTTGCTTGAGAAGTATGGGCACAAGGTTGTTACTCCCTATCATCCACAAACAAGTGGAAGTGTCCAATCATGAGATCAAGAGCATCCTGTCCAAAACAGTGAACGTAAACAAGGTAGTTTAGTCACAGAAGCTAGATGATGCACTATAGGTGTACAAGACTGCATATAAAACTCCAATAGGGATGTCTCTTTATCAATTGATGTTTGGAAAAGCATGTAATCTATCGGTGGAGCTTGAGCACAAATCTATTTGGGCACTGAAAGAGCTGAACTTGAATTGGGAAGAAGCCTCTAACTAAAGGTTAGAATAGATAAATGAATTGCATGAGTTCAGGTTGAGAGCTTAAGAGAGCTCGTCGCTCTGCAAAGCCTGGATGGAGCACTATCACGACAAGCAGATACTCCAAAGGGAGTTCAGACAGGGAGATTTAGTCTTGTTGTTCAACTCAAGACTCTATTTGTTCCTGGAAAGTTGAGGTCCAAGTGGTCAGGACCATTTCAAGTTGCTCAAGTATTTCCCATGGAGCCATTGAACTCGAATACCAAGACGGTAAAAGGTTAAAGTAAATGGCCAGAGGATAAAACACTATCTAGGGTACTTGATGACGTGAAGTTGATAGAGGTGATTTACCTCGATGAGGTATGAAGTAACAAGTCGTAACTTGTACGCACCAACTAGAGGAGAATGTTAGAATAAGAGCTTGTTTGGATTGGCTTAAAAGTTGGTCAAACCTACTTTTAAGTCATTTTTAGCTTTTGGGAGTGTTTGACAAAGTTAAAATTAACTTAAAATAGGTTAAAATGACTTAAAAAAAGTTAAAAGTTACAAGTAGGTACTTCCCTGCTTTTCATTTTTAACTTAAAAGTTACTAAAGTTTGACTTTTTGAAAACTACTTTTAAAAAGCTATTTTTTTAAGTTAAGCCAAATGGACTCTAAGAATAGGAATAGAATTGTATATAGTGTCATACGTGGAAAAGAATTGTAATATAGTGTCTACAAATAGAGCACAATGTAATAAACACAAAACCAAAATGCTTCACAATAAGAAGGGTAAACCATTTATCATTTCTGGGAAGGGATGCGTTGGAAGTCATTAATTTAAGTATTTAATTATATTTTTAGTTGCTTTATTTATTATTCTAGAATAGGGTTTAGTTTTAGAGTTTCATAAGGATTATGTTAAGTTATAAGAATTAGACTTCCTATTGATATGATAAGACTCTTATTTAAAGGGACTTTTGATGAATAAATACAGTAAGTCATAATTAAGACAAAAGCAAGAGATCGGAGTTCTCTCTTCCATTGAACTCTAAGGTTTCTGTCTCCCTTTAAAGAGCTGAAGAGATCGGAGTTCTCTCTTTTAATGAACTCTAAGGTTTCAGCCTCCCTTTAACGAGCTGATTTATATATTGCCCTGTGAATCGATCCTTCCCTAAAGATTCATAACATAATAATTGTACCATTATAATGACCAACAATATGGAAGGAAGCATTTATCATGGTGTCAACTTATGGAAAGGGTGTCCGAGACTGTCCATAAAGCTATTCATATACTCACTTGTATAAACATCCGCTCAGCATCACCAACATTTCCGTTCTCTTTCAAAATAATACCCTGCACAAATCGAGATGAAGAAATCTATAAACCTACAATAAAAACATAAAAATTCAAAAAATAATCATCATGTCATGATTGTCTTCCTATTCTACAAGATATCATACTATTTATTAACTAATATTCATTTACACTACTTTGATATATTATGAAAAACAACAATTTATCCCTTCACAAGGTAGGGGTAAGGCTGCATACACACTACCCTCCCCCAGATCCCACTTGTGGGATTACACTAGGTGTGTAGTTGTTGTTGTTGCCACACTTCACACTATTCTTTGAATCGTATCTCTACTATCTCTTCTAGGGGTGTCAAATGGGCAGGTTGGGTTGAAATTAGAGATATTAAAATGGGTTGAAAAAGAAATCGGGTTGAGTTATGACCCGCACAAGTTTACTTTGGGCTCAAGTGAGCTAAAATTGGGTTGGGTCATGACCCGCCCAATTTGATCCGCTTAATGTCAATAATTTTAACATGTTGTTATTTAACTTTTACAACCACAATTTGAGTTTCAACTCAAGAAAAAAAAAATCACAAATGGATGAATAAATCCTAGAAGATATAAAATAGATAGCAATTCATACCTTAAATATAGGAACATACATTACATCAATGCAAATAACGAGTCTTAAAACGGGTTGAAATTGGAGATTAAATTGAGCTCAATTGAAGATTCTTTTAAAATGGGTTAAGACTTGAATGGGTTGAGCTTGAACCCAATTTAAACTATTTTGAGCCCAACACCCATAAAATTCTGGGCATGTTGGGCGGGTTACCTATATTTGGGCTCATTTTGACACCCCTAATCTCCACATTAAAACTAAGCTTTGCAAGATTAGGAACTCTAATATTTCTTTTGTAGTTAAACTTAAAAACTACACAATATTACTAATAAGATTAATAATTGCACAAAACACAATTTTTGGATCGTCCTAAATGATTTCCAAAATTTTGTAGACCATTTAATGCGCAAACTTTAAGCGGATAAAAATACAAATAACCGTTGCAGGTAAAATATGGACCAGATTGAAAGAACCTTCGCTAAGTAACCCCTAAAGTCGTCAGGATAGGTAGAAATGAGTTGATTATATACAGACACGGCATCACTGATATGGCCCCATTCTGAGTATGCTTTTCCCAGAAGCAGGTCAACCTGAAAAGGGAGTAGAAAAGGAATAAAAGGTAACCGTGCAATGAGTGCATTCATTCAAGCAAGAGAATGCAACAATCCTTGCCTTTGATAATGGTCCCTCAAATGAGTGAAAGATACCTTGCACAATTTCCCTCGAAAGCAGGTAACCACTAAGGAAAATAGATGTTTTATTTGTTTTTCTTAACCAATTTAACCATAAAAACTAGTATTTGTTAAAACGGAGAACACAATTTTGCATTAGGAGACTATTTTCATGCTTGTTTGAGTAATAACATTGAGATTCCCAATAGCTTGCTAATAATTGCTAGGATTTCCAGAAGAAGATGCCATTCATTTGACGAGAAATAAAAAGGAACATTGAATATTCGAGTGGCTGAAGCTGAACTGTACAGAAGTTAGCAAAGAGAGAAAAGTTCCAAATTGTCAATTTATTAATTAACCTCATTTTCTTGAGTAGGATTTCAACATTACATCTAACATTCACAGAACAAGACAACATAAGAGAGCGTGATTGGTAACTTATTTCATACTTTTACAAAGGTTCCAGATAAAGTTACCATCTACCTCCGTCTGTGCTATGCATAGAAGAAAAAAGAGACAACTTAGTATATCATGTGCCAAGAAGTTAATTCTAATTGAGAGCACACTGCAATATTCACTCATATTAACCAACAATACCTAACACATTTCAACAGCTTTACAGTTGAACAAAGTGAAGGAACTGTAGAAATTGTCAACAGCTTTGCACATGATATTCTGGTAGGGCTAGTCATCTAAACCTAGGAACTTCTTCTCCATCGTTAACTAGAGTTTCTCTTGTTTTTAATCTTTGCTGTTTCTTTCATTCTCTTACATTTGCTCCTATGTTCAGATCCATGTGTTTATCCTTTTATTAATGAAGAAAGTTTTACAGGCTACCAGATGATACAGCAGCCTAACAATTATTTCCTACAGAGTTCAGTGTAGAAGTGTCAACTCATCTAAGTTTCCAAGCGAAGTTATATTTTGAGATAAATTTTACATGTTTTTTTTTTGGTAAGAAAAATTACATGTTTAAACTAGATAAAAATTACTACTAATTACAGTTTAAAGTTACAAATATTTAATAAGTGTTTGAAGAATTATTTACTCTCCAAATAATAATTGTACCAAACAAATCAAAACCGAGGGAGTATCAGAATTGACATGCTAAACTTACTTGAATTGGGTCTACCTCTGACTTTGATTTCGCTGCACTGTTCTTGGTTCCATCATTGCTACCACTAGTTTTTTCTTCTTTCAGACTTTTGCGTGATGCCAAAAGCATTTGAACAGCCTAAAAAAGTAAGATATCCATATCAAGTCCACATATTGAAATGCCACATAAAGGAAATCAGTTTTAATTATGTTATTATAGCAACAGAGATGATAAATGGCCATTTTCTTATCATGCTTGCAGAAGGTTGCTTTGCAATCTTAGACACGACTGAATGGTAGAGAAACTCGATACAAGAAGATCATCTGGAATGATGGTGTTATCACCTTTTATGTCAAGAAGTTGTCTGAATATGAACCAATGCAAGAGATACCAACATTGCAGATATATCAACCCTGTTTGAACTTTGCTGGCATGGCTGAATGCTCGCAAGGTTCTAAACATTTCATTCAGGGTGGATGGTGGGGGTAAGGTGAGCTTTTGGGGACAGGCGGTGTGGGTAAAAGACTTTGAGACTCATATGTCTACATATCTACAAAATTTCATGCCAAAAGGAGATGGCAGTCCAACGTTTGTGGAGACTACAAGGAGAACTGTAGTGGGATTTGAGGTTTAGGAGTGGTGAAAGAATTTCAGTATCTGCTTTGCAATCAACAGAGTTCACATGATAGTCATGATGTATGGAGATGGGAGGATAAGGAATACAGTGTCTTTTCTGTTAAAGTTCTATTATGAGAAGCTTTTGGTTAAGGAGGAGCCAGCCTTTCCATACATTTCGTTATGGATCCCTAGCGTACCGACTAACAAGAGAAGCCTATTTTTTCACTTGGTTAACTTTGAGAGAGGTGATTTTGATAGCGGAGAATTTGAGAAAGATTACTTATGTTAGTTGGTGCCTCATGTGTAAAGACTCAGTGAAAGATGTGAATCACCTCCTATTACGGACATCTTATTTGTGGTGGTAATTATTGAGGTCGTTTGATCTTGAGTGGGTGATGTTGGGCACTGTGAAAGAAACTATGTTTAGTTGCGCCTTCAGAAGACGAAGAAGAATATGAAGGGAATGGGATGTTCCACCTTTAGCATTAATGTGGATTATTTGGAAGAGAGGAACATGAGAGCTTTTGATGGTGTAGAAAGATCTTGTTCGCTTGAGGAGTAGCCTCTTTTCTCTTATTTACTTCCAGTGCACCCATAAGGTTCCTTTATGTATAGAAGATTGGATGTATTTCGTAGAAAACCATGTCTTTTGTAAGGTTGACTACTTTTTGGTGTACCACTTGTATACAGCTAAGTTGCTCAGACTCGAGCACCCAACGTAGATCCATTTAATTATTCCCTTCGTCCCAATTTATGTGACACTATTTCTCTATGCACGGAATTTAAGAAATAAATGAATACTTTTGAAGCTTGTGGTTTAAAACAATTCTTAAACATTTGTGTGACTTATAAATTATCTCATTAAGGGTAAAATAATAATAGTTTTATCGTTATATAGTTTCTAAATATAGAAAGGCAACATTCTCTTTGGGACATACTAAAAAGAAAAATGTGCCACATAAATTGGGACAGTGGGAGTATAAGTTACAACAACGTTGAGTAACATCCAACATCTTTACCGTTGTCAATGAATCTATTCTACATTCGATTTTACTCTATGTTAAAAGAATTCAGTGAATGTTATTCTGATATAAGTCACCTTATTCTTTGTCAATGAATGTTAGCTAGTAAAGTGAAATCACTAATCGACATACACAAATCAATAGGATAACTGAGTAGGCTTAGCACTGAAAATACTATTTAAAGCAACCTACTCTAACAACTAAAGAACAGTTTATATAATCAGATTTAAAAGTGAGCAAACTGGCATTGTGAAACCAATAGATTTTACTTAGCTTTAAACATCAAACTAATTACAAATTGAGAGAATTGGGGTGGGGGGGAGTTGAATTCTCAAGATTGGAACTTCAAAATGCAATAACATGTTCCACATATTCCCAATAAGCTCCAAATATAGTACTCCGTATTAAGTATCATTCTTTCGCCGTTTCACGCATTATAAGTTGCAGAAATTTGGTCAATTTTAAGAGATCACACCAATCCTCTTAACTGATTTCAGGTGCCTTATGTTACATGCACTCTTACATGTATATGGATCCGATACAGATAAATATACTTTGTTGTATGTTTTGAAGGATCCATGAGAAGCATCAAATATATATGTCATATCCAATTTCAACAAGGTGCATCAAGACAAATGAAGGGTCCGTGCAATGGACCAGTGCTAAAAGGTGTATCAAGACAAATAAAGAGTCCATGAAAGAGAGCAGGTGCCAGAGGAGAAAAACATTTATAAAGATCATACCCTTGGCGAAAGGCTAAAGTACCTAAGGCAGTTTACATATTCAATTTCACATAGTATCTCGAACACAAATGAACTATACACATTTTGACAGTGTTTACTCAATCTCAGAGCATAATATTCACTTGTATACTTATGAACTGTGGTTACGATGGTAATATGGATACCCTTTTCTACTTCAGTTCCACCAAAGACGACATCTTCATATTTTTATCAGAGCTCACAAATTATTAAGCTGTCAAAAAAGTGATTAACTGGAACAAAGAAACTGAGAATCATTTCCTGTCTAGAAGTGCAGGCAATGGAACAATGTAAAAAGAGGAAATAGCAGATTGACCAACCAACCTCATCTGGCTTCCTCGCGGCAATCAGTGCATTTGTAAGGCCACGTAGAACTTCAAAATCAATAGTTCCGGATACCTGTAAGATCATCCTAACAGGTTATTCGAGTTTGGGTAAGTGCAGAGAAAACTTCTCTATGAACAAGAGGTGAAGAATCTCTAATAAACATTTTGTTTGTGGGATTTGGTATGGTCTACTAGCATGACAAACCTGATGTATATAAATCAGTTAACTTTTAGGCTAGGTAGATGTTTAGATAGAATAAATAAAATAAGGAAACTTCTTTCGAAAACTTTACAACCAACCAACATTTCAAAAGGTTCAAGTCTAGAGAGGTACTACAGGTAGGCACCATAAACAATGATAACTGATTAAAGTAACAAGGTATACCAGAATAGGCATATTATCCAGCTAATAAGCTACTGACCATGGCAGACATTCTAAAAGCAGCAGCACTTCCTTCATAATCCATCAGTCCATATTTGACTTCTCCAAGCAAACGGTAAACATCTGGGTCACTTGGTTTTTTCTGCAATCGCAAACAGGTGATTTCGTGATATTCATATGGACATAGAACAATCTCTTGATAAGCAAAAAATACATCAGCCGAAGAAAACCTTAATCAATTCTTCAAGAAGGGAAGAGGCTCGATTGTACTCCCCCAGTTCTGCTAAGGTCACAGCAGCTCCCTGAAAACCATTAAAAAAAACTTGCACAGTTGCAGAGTGAAAATTAAAAAGAGGTGGTTTTGGATTGGATGACATCAAAAAAAGAAATTGTCATACAAGAATTCTTACATAAAATTATAAAGGAAAATCCTTATAAGACACAGGGCACTATGATCCCGTTTAGATTAGCTGATTATAAATAGCTGCTAAGCATTTTCAAATGTTGATCATGATTTAATAAATGGGCAGTCGTGTTTGATAGAAGTACTAAAATTGCTAATAAGTGGTAAAGAAGTGTTGATAAGCTGTTCTTTTGTTAGAATTACTAAAATACCTTTACACGTTTTACAATAAGCTATAAATTTCAAAGTATTGTTATAAAAAAAAAAAGGAGGCACAAGTGAAGAAGTTAGGTGTTCTATTTTGGTAAAGAGTGTACACATTCTCATCCCTACCTTATGAAGTTAGAGAAATTGTTTCTAGTAGACCCTTGTCTCAAGTAAAACATATCAAAAGACAAGTATGGAAAAGAAATACAACAGTAAAAAACCATGCTAAAAATAAAGGAGAAGGGAACAATAGCAACAACAGATAATACGGTAACTGAAGCAAAGGAAACAACATGTCAATTTTTGAGACCTTAATAAATCCAGCAAGACCCAATCCACTTGATTGTTGTTGGAATAAAGGGAAAGAGAAGGAGGTGAGACATTAAACCCAGGTTTTTCTGGAATAAGAACTTGTATAAATTTGATTCCTCCTTTCACTTGACTATCCACCCAACTGTCATCATTTTTGTCAAGGTTGACTGGGACAAGATATCAATGTGAATTAAAGCTATGATGCACAGGGATGTTGAGGACAAGGGAACCACAGGTTTCCATGATAGGCAAGGAATAAGATGGTTAGGGCCAGTATAGTAGTTGCACACCAGAAAAAAGTTGTCATAACTTTAGTGTCGTCGAACTGGGAAATTGTCTGCTAGATTCAAGTTGAATGCCTCATAAGAGAATGTTAGAAAAAGAACATGAATAGTACATAGAATCCTACTTGGAATTGGAATAGTGTATGGAATCCTACTTGGAAAAGGATTGTAATATAGTATCTATAAATAGGTAGGGTCTCAATGTAATAATGTGGATACACAATTCAATAATATTTTTCTCTTATATTTCTCGCATGGTATCAAGCCTTAACAATCTTGGTAGAGAAAAAAAAAAGCTTTCGCAGTCGGTGGACAAGTTATAACTCATATTGCCGCCCGTTTGGCCAATGATTATGTTAGCACAAGTCAGGGCAATACTATATGCATGAAAATAATCATGCTTAAAATGATTGATTTGAGAAGCATACGGACAAAGATTTCTCAAATATGATTTTGCATAGCACCATGCATCTTTCCGATGGTTACTTTCTCATATACGATTTGGGTAGCACTGTGCATCTTTCCAGTGACTACTTTTTCATATCTAATTTGTGTAGCACCATGCATTTTTCTGGTGACTATTTTTTCATATCTGATTTTGCGTGGCACCGTGCATCTTTCCGGTGACTACTTTCTCAAATCTGATTTTGCGTGGCACCTCCGGTGACAACCTTTTTATATTTGATTTGTGTAGCACCGTGCATCTTTCCGATGACTACTTTCTCATATCTGATTTGTGTAGCACCTTGCATCTTTTCAGACTACTTTCTTATATCTAAGTTGTGTAGCACCATGCGTCTTTTCAATGACTCATCTGATCTGCATAATTGCGTCTTTCCGGTGACTCCTCAAATATGACTTACGTAGTCTCACTTTTCGCCAGTGTTGTGCAAAAAGCAACACCACCAAGACGTACAGTATCTCATTGCATAAACCACAACTCACACTACAGCGGATAAACCTCCCACGTGCCTCCATGCGCCACCCAAGATATCATCACCTTTGACGAGATCGTACCACGCACTGATGCGTGAGCCTCTTCCAACCAGTTTTTTGGCGATTTTCTTGTTCAATATTAACTCGTCTCTTGATTCCGAGACAATCCATATATTTTATACCAGATTTTAAGCACTTTCCAACAACCAATACATTGTTTCCGACAAATATGAGTTTTCCAATATTATTCTCCATTTCAGATTCACTTTTGCCAAAAGGGTATACTCAGATTCTATCTATGGTTGTCATTTGCCATTTGTCTTTTACTTAGTTGGACATTAATAATGTTTTTTTTTTTTTTTTAACTTGGTAACTTTGACATTAATAATGTTTTTTTCCATAGTGATCTCGAGGAAAAAGTCTATATGGAGCAACCATCTGATTTTGTTGCTCGGGGGGAGTCTAGTAGCCTTGTATGTCGGTTGCGTAGGTCACTCTATGATCTTAAATAGTCTTCTCAAGCTTGGTTTGGAAAGTTCAACACAATAATTTAGGAGCTTGGCATAACTTGTAGTGGAGCTGATCATTTTGTGTTTTATCAAATATTCTGCATCAAATCCAGTATTTCATGAGAGAAATAAGCAAATTGAGATACTATTATAAAATTAGTGAAGTTGAGGGATCAACTTGCAATTATCTTCACCAAGTCCCTCATTGGTCTCGTATCACTTGTATGCACTTGTTTGACAGGAAGCGTTTGAATAGGAATAAAAATATGAATAGAATATAGAATCCTACTTGGAAAAAGATTGTAATATAGGATCTATAAATAGGGTCTCAATGTAATAATGTAGATACACAATTTAATAATATTTTTCTCCTATATTTCTCACAAAGAAGAAATGGGTTGATGCTCATCAACAAACCTGCCAGAAACAATTAGAGGCAATGAACCACCGTCTAAAGTGAAGGGGACTAACCTAGAGGTTCCAAAGTCTAATAATAGCTAACATATTTGCATTTCATATCGCTACTCAATCTTAAAGTAAAGAGAACAATGGTATTGATGGGTGAGATATGTTTAAGTTGCAAAAAGTTTTTGCCTCCTTATGCAATAAGATTAATTTCTAGACCCTGAGCATAAGTATATACAACTCTAAGGAGGCTAAACTAAAGTAGGTATGCTCTTGCTGAGAGAATAGAAAATTCTGAAACTGTAAGCATACAAACAAAGAAATCTTAAACTACATCATAGATAACAACTCACTTCAAGCGAGATGGGATCCTCTGGTGATGAAGCCAGTGTAGCCTCAAATTGCTGAAGCGTCTTCTGCAAAAGCATCAAATCTGATGAACAATCTATAGGGTGCCAGTGAATTCTTCATTTATACAAAATTGAGTGAATTTAACATATTGCTAAACAGTTTTCTTTTCTAAGGAGCTTCTATATGTAGAAATTACTAGAATTGCACATTTTATATCCTAAATATTCATTTAACTCCATATGGACCTGTTTCATACTTTCATATCAGAGAGAAGTTGGCCGTACTGACTAGCAATGAAAACTACATATGCAAGCCCATTAGATAAAGAGATGATAGGGATTGGCAATAGGTGCTTCACCAATCTTGCCTCTTTCTGCAGCAACTTTCAACTGAACTCAAAAGCATGTCTTACCTTCCTTATAGTTGCACACTAGAAAATTATTAATTTCAGTGCGACGGAAAACAATTTACCAGGAGGTTAGCTCTCTCATCTTCAGCAATTCTCTTACCCTTGCTGGCAATCTCCTCAGTGGGACTAACACTGGACCAATGGCCTCATTAGGATATATTGAAAACAAAAAAGGGGGGAAATAAAAAGAAATAAGCAACAAACTAATCATGAGACGTTGAAACCTCTGGATAGAGTACAAAAGAAAACCAGGATGGAAATGATGAGATCTATTTGATAACAAATAGCCAGCATAATTGGAAGCACCAGAATCTACCTTCCAGAGGGAAGAAAGTCACCAAGTGCAAACAAGAGTCCAAATACAATAACAGCTGCTCCAACTCCTATCTATTAAATTTGGAATAAATCTATTAGTATCCATATGAAGAAATGAATTCAAATGGATCAATAGGCGGATGTGTCAGCTAGATTATAGTACCACCTTGGTACCCAGTCCGATTGTTGTACTTCTGGACTCAACCGGAGCATCATAGTCAATTGCTCCATATGGTTTCTCTTCCTCTGTTTTTTTCTGCTGAAGCGCCGACCTAACAGATAGTGAAAAATCTTAGTCAATGAAACATATTTTAATCAATGAAGAAAAAAAAGAGAAAAAAGGATAATGTCATCAACACATTGGCCACATAGCCCACAAAGATGGAACAAGAAGTCCAAGAAGTAAGAAACTAGACATCAAAAGTTGACACAACATAGATTTAACATGCCTACATTGTCGAAGCAGAGCTTACTTTATCCAAGAACTAAAAACATCCCAAAACAGTCTAGATTATAAACTCAGAAATTGAAATTGCACAAATTTTGCCTTTGCAACCAGAAGTTCAATAATTGATCACAGCACTTGTCACCAGTGATTATTCATTCAATCCCTTGTTTGGAATGCAAAATGTTGGTGACACATCTAGTAAGCATGATCAAGTAGTTCCAAGATTATTTTTCATACTAGGTCATTGAAAAGTGATGGCCACTACCAGCTGATGGATTGGCCAGGACTGCTGACAGAGTCTTTCCTAATCTATGTATGAATGTATTACTTCCTCCTTTTTATTCAGGTGGTTGGGGAGAGAGTCTCTATTTAAATCACATTGACATGACCCTAGATGGTAAGATATGGAGGTCGAGGATTAGGGTAGAAGGGAAGGGTAGTAGGTAGCCGAGTGCTGTAGTACTTTTACATGGGAGAGGCAGGGGTCTCGTCTCATCTTTCTCCTTAATTAGTAATCTTATCTAGTATTGCATAGTATCTTATTCTCTGTTTTACCCACTACTTGTTACTTCATTTGCTTTGTTTATCTTGCTATTTTTGGGGTCGTTAATTCCTTTCTATTCTGTTTTGATTACACTTCTTTTGAGCCGAGGGTCTATACGAAACATCTCTCTACCCCACAAAAGTAGGGGTAAGGTCTGCATACATCAAACCATCCCCAGACCCCACTTGTGTAGGTACACAGTTAAGTTGTTGTTATTGTTGTGACTATCCACATACAAGATGATATGATGAAGCATAGATACGAGGGCTACTTGCATGTATGTGAAGTCTAATGAGTACACCACATACAATGCCATCCCTAGACCCCACTTGTGTAGGTACACTGATAAGTTGTTGATATTGTTGTGACTATCCACATACAAGATGATATGATGAAGCATAGATACGAGGGCTACTTGCATGTATGTGAAGTCTAATGAGTACACCACATACAATGCCATCCCTAGACCCCACTTGTGTAGGTACACTGATAAGTTGTTGATATTGTTGTGACTATCCACATACAAGATGATATGATGAAGCATAGATACGAGGGCTACTTGCATGTATGTTGAAGTCTAATCGAGTACACCACATACAATGCCATCCCTAGACCCCACTTGTGTAGGTACTACTGATAAGTTGTTGATATTGTTGTGACTATCCACATACAAGATGATATGATGAAGGATAGATACGAGGGCTACTTACATGTATGTGAAGTCTAATGAGTACACTACATACAATGATGAAAAATAATCTCTTTCATCTGCTTTTGTGAGTCATCAAATTTTGGACTCCAATACAATATGAACAGATAATTGGCTCAAAAGGAAAATTTACAAAGACTAGTGCAATAATATAACAAAAATTAATTTTATAAGATAGCTACTGCAGATAAGCATAAATGTAAAACCAGCAGGAAAGAAACCATTCTAAATACTAGTAGCACCTTTTTACTGCTTGCAGCCGTTCCTCAAACTTAAGATCTGACCCCACACTTTTTGACTTTCTGACATCATTCGTAGAGTTCAAACGAGGTGCCTCTGCACAATAATGAGCCTTAGATTGTATATTCTACAACATCTATTACTCAGACCTCACTTTAAACAAGATATAACAGGGGGGGAAACCTTTAAGAGACCACTTAGTATGATAACAGAAGAATGTGGTCATACATTTTGAATTAGAAATAAGCTTCCAAAGCATACGTATTTTAGCCAGAAGAATCAACTTTACAATCCAGTAGAATGTGTGATTTCAAATAGTTTTGACAAGTGAGGACGAGGCAAGGAATCAAAAGATAAATTCGGAAGGGAAAACCAGAAAACAGAAACAAACACAGATCATACAACACTATGAAACCGCTATGCATCAGAGCTCCTGTACACATAAAACATCAAATTGTTAACGTTGATAACACAACTGGCAAGAAAAACATCAGAATACTTTATTGCAATGTTTATTAAGCATTCAACAAAAAAAAAAATCGGATCTAATCCAAACAGTAATCTATTAACACATTCAAGGGTTCAAAGAGTATTTCCAGAAGATTCAACCAAGTGTTGGAAACAAATCAAGCAACCATGTACTCGAGCAATATATCACAGCTTAAACCATAATGATTGTTTTTCTTTGTATTGTTAGTTTCATGGAACAAAAAAATTTCTTCAAGCCAGCTTTATCCCATGGTTCAAAAACAATTTACCAGAACATCGGAGCCACAAATGACCTACTTTAACTAGCATGGAGATGACATGAAAAAAAATCAAAGATACTACTTTTTTCTAGAAAGGAAATTCATTAATAGGAGAGTCCTTAGGCTACAAGACTACAAATATTTTTCACAAAGGCTATAGGGGTCGACCCTCGACTACCTTCCTTCCGAGAGCATACGGCTCTACGACTTGTCTCCCAACGTGTCGTGTCTCTTTTCTAAGAACATGTTTGGTCTTCTCCAAAGTCCTATCAGGGATAGAGTGTTACATCGGTATTCCATCAGATCATATTTTCCATTACCGATATTCTTGAAAGTTGAAAATCAATTATGTGAGAAATGTTTCTCATGATGTGAATCAAATGCCATGTATCATTTATTGCATAGATCGTGAAAGTAAAATGATAAATCTAAGGTATACATCATCTGTCTCAATACATACCTAGTTTTATTCTTATTTTTTCAAAAAGAGTTTTGGCATGCCTTATTTTAGGTTAAAAAGTTCCCAATGTATAATATTTGTTTAATGCTAAATATTTTTGATGCATCCAATAATTTATACATCTAATCAAACAAACTTTTCTATTTTCTCTAAATTATTAATCGGTAAACCACAGGTACAAACAAAATGATACCCAACTACACACTACACAACATGCAAGGTAGGGTGGTTTACTAACTATTAAGGAGGTCGTCGGACTGTGGGGTAGATGAATTCCTGCAAGAGTAAACAATAGCTTTAGAATAACTACAATAAACTGACTTCCAGCACTATTTACATCAACATGCAGTTCTAGACAACACTTAAGGTAGGTACAAGTTCAGAGAATAATACACACAATTTCTAAAGCAGTAGGAGATGAGAGAAGTGAAAATAAAAGTGAATCTTCTTCCTTATATCATGTATCATTCTAATTAAATTAATATCTCCCACTTCAAATGACCGTTCTATATTGCCTCTTAAGTTAAGTCTTCATGTACATACTGTTGTATATTTGAATAATCCACCTTATAAGTCTCAGCATATCCTTCCTTACGTCACAAGTCTTGCCTTAAGTTTTGCCATAGAGCCTTCACGATTGCCTGACTAAGAAAACTCACTTGCATCCACTATTTTCTTTCTTTTGGTAAATCCACCAAATTTCAAGTGTTGTTTTCATCTAAAGCATGTATCTACTCAAGTATTGCATCTTCAAAGGTCTCCTTCCCCGTTTTGGGTACCAAGAGGCAATTGAAGTACTAAACACAGGAGATAAGTGGTCATAAAAATATTAGCAATGGAGTACGTGGATTTACACAAATTGTATCTTTAGAAGTGTAATAGGAAGGTCAAGGTTTTCTACAAGATTTCTTACAATGAAGAAGTTGGTACGAGTCATGGAGAAATTCTTCTTCCGAAAACAAGACACATCAACTTGATCTTTCAACTTAAACATTGGACGAAGAAGAGAATTTCGAGAAAGGTTGCAAAGAAGGAAATATTTGCTGCAAAAGTCAAAATACTTTCAAAATGCAAGATCAATTGTATTTAAATAGATAAGAGTAGTTATTGGTGGTTACCAAGTTAAGAAAACTTCTAGTTTAAAAACTAAGTACATTATTTATAAATTGAATTGAAACAATTTAAAACAAGAAGTGAAGAAAGAGAAGCATACCTTTGCGGCCGCACTGTGCCCTTGGCCTGCCTTCTGGCGGTTACAGAATTCTTACCCTGAATTAAAGTAGCAAGAACAGTATAGAAATAGATCGAAATTATGGATAACAATTCAGCAGTGTATCCATATTAGGATTACAAAATTAAAAGGGTGAAATCTGAGATAAGTATCATACCAATGAAATTGATAGAATCGAAATACCTTGTTAGTGTTGCCGTCACTCGGACCTAAACCACGACGTGAATTTGAATCAGTAGAGCAGCATATACAATTCAGAACCCCATACTTGGACTTGGTATGGTACTGAAAATGATGATTGCTCCGGCTTTTACCAGAAGGGAAAGAGAATGTTCGAGTATAATTACTGCAAGCGTCGGGCGAAGAGCGAGACTTAGGAGCAAACGACACTTGCGGCTGCTGAAGAACAGTAAAGTGAGTCGTTGCTGTTGTTGCAACGGCCATTAGATAAGGTATGCCGTTCTCTACAGTTCATTCGTTACTGGACGCCACAAATCTTTCGCGTGGCATCGTTAATTGTTTGAAGCAATGCGGGCCGGTAAGTTAAAAAGTCAACAATCTTTTTTTCCCAAGTAATTTCTCTCATAAATAATTATAGTTCATATCTCTATTCATTTAAGACTGATAATTTTTATTTAACTCATACCAAATTATATACATATGTTGTATTGATATCATTAAGGTTCTTGTTACTCATTAGTCAATGATATAAGAGTATATGTATATTGTTGTGGTATCATTAACGTCTCTTACTGATTAGTCAATAATACTATAAGAGTATATATCATTAGTCAATGATGTTTTAAGAGTATATACATACTCTTAGGGGTCATTTGGTTGGGAACAAGTTATCGTAAGATTAGTTATCTTGGAATAACTTATCTCATCATGTATATGAGATAAGTTATCCTATCACTTTGATATAAATGGTGGAATAAGTTATCTCAAACATGGCAACCAAACAAGATACAAAATTTTTATCCCTACACTATTTTCTTATTCCATCATTATTTATTTTTATCCCTCACACCAAACGATCCCTTATAGTATCATTGATTAATAAGTAATTTCTAAACACGAAACCTTAATAATATCAATACAGTATATATATATATATATATATATATACACACACTAGTTTTTCGATATGTGTGTTGCACGTGATTACCAATTCAGAAAATATATGTTATGGTAAATTATATTTGCTTATTTAAGCGAAGATTTGAATAATAAGCTTTGCAGAAAATAATATTGCAAATTATTTTGTGAATGTTCAGTGTGGATCATCATATATATCGCTTATTCACGCGAACCTATGAAGATGGTCAATGAAAAATTTTATTAGTTAAATGCAATAATGAATATATTTATTTCAAGTTGATAAAGTTCAATCATGTAATTAGTCGTATCTTATTAATATTACCTTATAGACAATATTTGTTGTACAACCAGATGTGTTTTGCAGGTGTATTCCACATTAGACTATTGAGATGTATTTTTTCGAACTATTTTTGTATATTTATTGTTATTTTATAAGTTATAACATAATAGATGTCGTTCTTGTTGTTAGCTCTTATATTTGACTTCTCGATTGACTGTGTACATAAATCAAAGATAGTTATTTGACCGTCCATAGTTAACTGAGAAAGGTTTCCTTTTTTTTACCGGAAAAACTAAAAGTTCAAATTAAAGAATATATTATATATGTAAAATCATATATATAATCACATGTTTATCTTACACCCAAAAATATATAGTTCATATACTTGTAAACGATTTTCAATTTATTATATCAAGCATGATTCGTCCAAAGAGAAATAACAACATCGTGTTATGACATAGATAGGGGCGGTATAATAATATGAAAAATTATTGGTCAAAGGTTAATATAAGGAAAAATGAAAGATAAAAATAATTAATGTAATAACTATGAGAATACATAATATTATAACTAAAGAATGTAAAAGAGTGTGAATAACGTTTGCAATAATTAGTACTAACTAAGAGAATTTATAATGTTATAACTAAAGAATTAATGTGAAATAGCTAAATTTCTAATTAAATTTTAGAGATAAGGGTCTAAAAAATACCCCAACTTTGGTCGAATTTGTTGTTGTGATACTAAACTTTCATGAGGACCTATTACCTCCCCTAGACTATTTAATACCGTATTTTAAACATATATATTTGCCCACATGGACATAAAAAATAATTCAAAATTATAAATAGTAATGTGTCTATGTGGGCACATATATACCTTTAAAATACACTATTAAATAGTTCAGGGGGTAAAAAATACGGTATTAAATAGTCTAGGGAGATAATAGGTCCTCCTGAAAGTTTAGTATCGCAACAACAAATCCGACCAAAAGTTGGGGTATTTTTCAGATCCTTATCCCTAAATTTTTGTCACGCCCTGAGTCTACACCCTGGGCGGGACTGGCACTCGAGAACCATTGCTGGCCCTAAGCGAACCCCTGGTCTGGCTTACTTACTCAGCGGAAGACTTAAACACAAGAGATATAACTCATGCAATAACTTAAAGATAATAACTTTGCCAAAAATGGCATCTCAAGTCTTAAACGTATACAACTTAAATGAATAAGACTAAAGAACTAATACTATCTGTCTATGAAGCCTCTAAAACAAGAGAGATGTCGGGACAGGACCCTCGATCATCCTAACAACTGAAAACTAGAAAGGCAAATGATAAAAGAGTCCTCCAGAATGCAAAGAGGCTCACCAGCTAACTCGGAGTGCTAAACCTGATCAATGAGGCGCTGGATGCTGATCCTGGTTACCTGTGTCTGCATCATAATACGATGCAGGCCAACTGGCATCAGTACATTGAATGCACGAGTATGCGAGTTGGAATGCTAAACATAACATATGCTTGAAAAGATTCTGAAAGAAACACTTACCTTGGCTCTTCTCGATTCATGAATAAACTTAACTGAACTCATTTCATTATAAAGCAGTTTAAAACAAGTGCAATATAAAGAAAACGAAAAACTATTAACAGATGACATAAATAAGCCTTTTTCTAATAGAGTAGTTCAATGGCATATTTAAGTCTTTTCCCATCATTTTTTCCATTCATTAAATGTAAAGTAAACGATGTTTCCTGAAGGGACGCAACATATGAGTTGAAGTTCGAAATTTTAAATATGATTAAGAAACACAATGATATTCTGTTAAAATATTGAAGGGTATTGGACCTTTCCCCTGACTCTCTACTTCTCTTTTCTTTTACTCCTTTTTTTCCTATTAGACATCTGTGTATGTCTTCATCTTAATTTCGGCTCCAACATCATGTCCTATTTCTAGTCATCTCTACTCCACACATTTATATGCCTTGAAATTCTTGAAGTTTTATATATGTTCGAAATTTCCTCTTACTTGGCACATTTATTAAGAAAATAATAATTGACATTGTGAGTTTATCATTTTATTCAAATTAATGAGTTTATCATTTTATTCAAATTAATTATGAAGTAAATGAATTAAAAATTTAAAATTTTCAAGAAGTTCTACCTTTTTCAAAATAATTAATTGAGATATAATTAGTAAAAAAAAATTGTCTTTTCATGATTTGTCAAAATGGACAAGTATTTAGGGACAACTAAAAATGGACAAATAATTAAGAAGTAACATATATTTTTATGTATTACAATGTTAGAATATTCTTTTGTAGATTTTAGATGTCAAAATGACCAAAAAAGAGAAAAAGATAGAAAATTGTAAAAAAAAAAAAAAAAAAAAAAAAAGATGATCTACGGATCACATATCAGGTCATGGAAATGTTCAAGAGCATGTCAAGAGGATCCTATAGAATTGGTCAAATACTGTCGTATACTTCATTCACAATCTATACACTAAAAAAATCAAACTGATTGAGAAATCTACTGAATTCACTGGTTGTGAATCAATCCGATAATTGTAAGTGAGTTCACAGAACAAAGATAAAAAAATCCTAGGAAGCAATCGATGGTCAACATACTATCGTGGATCGTGAGGACAAGAGGGAAAAGGGTCTTGATATACCCCTAAATTTGTCATATAAATTTTTTAATTATTTTCAAAAAATAATAATTTCATATTGGTATATTTAATCCTCCTCGCACATATTTTTTTTGACTTTTTGTTTGTTTCAATGACTAATTTAAATTTTTTATTTTGATGGTCAAACTTATTTATGTTTCTCTAATTTTCTTGTAAGATTTATTATAGATGATTCAAATTTTTTTTCAAATACAAAAATTAAAGCAACAATATAGTCGAAAAATAGTTTTACATTATAATATAGTCACAAAAAAATAGTTTTAATTTTATTTTTTCTTTACACTAAGGAATGACAGAAAAATAAAATAAGAATAAGAAACTCAAATAATAATAATCAAGGAAGTCAAAAAATAACTTATGTATGAAAAAGATTAAAATATACCTATGATTTTGCTTGATAGATCATATATACACCCCCCCCCCCCCCTACATGAATTTTTTTTAAATTAAAAATCAAAAATATAAATTTAAAACTAATTTTTTAACTTTCGTTAATTGAAGGATATATGTGGGCTCATTTGGTAATGGTAGGGGTATAGTGAGCCGTTTATATAACGATAAGGTATATTTGAGTCAGTTTCATAACAAGAGGCATATCAGCTCCAAATGACAAAATTGATGAGCATTTTCCCATGTTTTTAAAGTTGCTATCAGTGTTGTTCTTATTGAACTGGCTCTGATCGAACTTCGAATGTTTTGTATCATCTCCTAATTTACCCAGCTTTCATTGCATGTTTGACCCATACAACTAGGATTCAAACTAACAGTGACGAAGATGACAAAGTTACTATGACTAGATTTATTAATCGTCTCAATAGAGAAACAATGGATGCAGAAGAATTTCAACGTGTAAATTTAAATATGCCCGTAGAGTTGGTTGCAAAAAAAAAAAAAAAAATACTCACGGAGGAATCGCCCAAATACTACTCCAAAAAAGACAGCTACAACAAAAAAAAATCATGATTTGGTCAATAATTTATCAAGATTTGAATTTGTCAACTATAAATATGAGTTACTTTTTATTTTTATTTTTACTGTCCTTTTCTTGTATTTCTACCCTCCGAAATAACTAAGTATTATTAAGGAAAAAAATTGAGTTTAATATATTTTTCACATGATTCCAAAAGCTTTATTTCTTTGTGTAATAGCGATCCACATGTCACGAGATTTGTCTTTTTGCGTAATTTAAATATATATTTAAAAGATAGACCAAACACAATCTGATCTTTATTTAATAGTATAATATAAAAAGGTAAGTATTTCTAGTCAAACATAATTTCTTTTCTTTTCTTTAGAAGACTGAAAAGCTATAAACATTTTTTAACGACTTAACTAAATTCTAAATAGGAACTTGTGTTAATATTTTAATTTCAGATGGGAATTCACATGAAAAATATCTCCCAAATCTCAAGACCCGTTCGTCTCTCTGTCCGTCATTCAGTATATTGTTTCTTAAGAAAGAATCAATGATTCTTACGGCAAAAAT